ACAAGATTCTCTTCCATAAAACAAAAGAAATTTCATGAGTCTTTCGTGATCCTTAATAAAATTCCGTACAGTAATATCGATTTTGATCGTTCTTACATTATCGTTTACTCACGACTTAAACCTAAAGAGAAGTTCAACTTGTTAGAACATAGTCAAGAAATCAAATTTCTAGATTATTTTCAATGTAGATGTAAAAAAGAAAAGTCTTTCCGCCCGGATCTTTGGCAATACGATAATCGTTATTCGGACCAACAATGTCCATTCAGAAGAAGATACGATTATTTCAGGTTGCTTCAAAGTGTGAATCCGAATATTCCAGATAAAGAAAAATTAACACGTAAATCATCCAAAGGTTCTTTAATGCGAATGAAAAGGTATTTTCGAACATACAGACTCGATTATGATATTTTTCTTTGGGTAAAAAGTTACCATGATCCACAAACACAAATTTATAAAGACGAAGTCTCTCTTTTGCGAGATTTTAAACAGTATGTGTTTAGAAAATGAAAGAAGATTAAAACTAATAAACAGAAGAAAAATAAAATCGATCAAGAAATCGAAAGCGGTAAACAACTCGTTGATAACATAGACTCTCGATTGAATCATATAGAAGAATATGTTCCCAAATCTCCAGAATATCACCCAGTTTCACCATCTGCTCAGTTAAATACCGAGTAGATGTTTATTTACGTAATTCACAATGAATCAATTCAACCAATTTCTCATCAAATTATTCCAATTGTTTCTCAATTTCATTGTTCATTTCAACAAGACCATTTACAATAAACGAATCAAAAATGATAGCAAATTCTATCCGGTCAACACTTACCTTCGATTAAATCCACAAATTGATCCAAATGAATTTTTTAAAAAATCAAACGAATTTGGAAAAATTTATATGACGACCAAATATCAATATCCGTTAAACCGAGGCCGATGTTGGAATTGTAAACGAGCGTTTTCTCATGAATGCTGTACGGCATGTAAAAAATTGAAAGATATATCTACAGGATATTGTGATTGTAAATATATATGTGGTTTTACATATCCAACAAATCAACCAAACCAGTTTGGAAAATGTAAATGGACCACAAACGATCCGAATTCTTTAACTCATGAATGTAAAGGGATGGTTCAGAATGATAGTTTTATAGTATATGTTAATGAACGTCAAACATCTAGATTCAATTTTAACGATAAACAATATTAATATATTTTTTATATTTTTATTTCTATTTTCTAATTATATTTATTAATAAATATCAACTAATCAGTTTCTTAAAACCGATTAGTTCTTTATTTGGTTAAAAAATGAATTTAAACATAAAAGTGAATGTGTCTGACTACACGAGAGATTATTTTGATCTACAATCAGAAGTCTATTCTGAAACAATCAATTATCCTAAAGTTCAAGAATTTTTTAACAAATATAATTGGTTTTTCCAAATTTCAGTCACAAAAGATCTCTTCTATTATTATTTCTATACTAACAATGTTATCAATTCTGAATTGAGTTATCAAAAGTTGTATCAAGTAGCCTCTTTATTCAAAATGTATATTGATAACAAAACGTATCATATTGATAGTTTACCTTCTATTCCAGAAGAGATTTAATAAAACATCTAATCAGTCAATTTGACCGATTAGATTTTTTTTGAGTCATGAACAAGATGCTAACAATAATTCCTAAAACCAAGATTAATATTGCGATTGATGGTTCTTGTGCATCAGGAAAAACAACGATCGGGAAAGAACTCGCTTCTCAACTCGATTACCAGTTCATCGATTCTGGATTGTTCTACCGATATATCGGATATTATTATTACGAAAATACTTCCTTGGAAGAAGTTTTCAAAATTATTGATGAACAAGTGCAAAACAATCAATTTTTAATCGAATTGGATTCGGTAAACTATCTTTCCTATGATAAATATATTGAATCAGGAGAACTTGCTTTGAAAGCATCTCAAAATGATAAATTACGTGAATTTATCAATCGAACCATTCGTAAATTAACCGAACAAAAAGGATTTGTTGTTGTTGGACGTGAT